TGCTGCATTGTTCATCCCACATATTAAATGTCACTTGCTAAGTGTGCATGCAGCATCAAATTTTGTCTGTAGCACAGGATAGCTTGGAATAGCCAAGCATTTTTGTCTGGTTGCATTGTTATTGCATATTCCCAGTTTGACCAAGGAAGCCAACACTGTTGATTTATTGCCCATTTTGAACAATGTTGGATAGCAGGATCTATAGTTGAATCCAGGCTACCCAGTCTCTTTAAGTGCCAAAAATGTGCTTAATTCATTGTCACCCTCAAAACAGTGTTGTCATGGTTATGTAGCTGTTTGCACACTGGGAACAAAGTTGATAGACACTGGGCCTTGTGCCTTCACATTGTCTGGCTGGGGGTGAAAGTCCTTGTCCTTGAACATACATAAACCTTTTCATTGATTTGTCCAGCGTAGCATATAATGTGTTTTTCTTCTTCCTAGTCCTCCTGCAGGGACTTTGGGACTGCAGTTACGTTCAGAGTGTTCAGACACTGTGTCTGTTCTGTTCAGGCATCTGGGGATGGAGCAGTTTTGGTGTCCACAGAGGAGCGGCCTTGGTTCAGAGCTTCCTGCTGCCTCTCTTGGCATTCAGGAGTCCTTGCTGGCTGGTGACAAAGCCCAGGTTGTCAGGGGAGGTGGCACTGAGGTCTGGTTGCAGAAAGAAAAAAAAGAATGAGAGCCAATAGCAGAAAAAGTGAGAGCTGCTCTGTAGACATAGGCAATGCTGTTGGATAGAGGCATTTCCTTCCCTGCTATTTCTGATAGCCACTTTCACTGGTCAGTGTCATTGAGTGGGACTCACCTGCTTTTCACTCTTGGGGTAAGTGTTATTTTAGGAGGAACCTGAATCTTAGTGTGTTCCTAATGTAGCTTTGAATTGTGTTTATGTGCTGTCATTTCTTATGCATGCTTGTCAAGCTTCCTGCATGTCTAGGTTGTGATCCAGAAGGAAATACAACTATGAATGCTGAAAGCTGACTTTGCTGAAAGTATGTTTATTTTATCTGTGTGTTTTACTGATGCCAACATACCAAACTTAAGAAATGCACCCTATTTAATTACAGCAAAGTGATGTCCCAGCAAGCCTTTATGTAGTAAGTGTAATTTGTGATTTTATTGTGAATGATTTCCCTAAATATTTTAGCTGTCTGAATGAAGATACTGCTAAGTGACATTGGCATGCTTTTCCTGTTTGGAATTGTACTGTACAGTACATTTACTCTAATCATTGTAGCCTGACAAAGCTCAGCACGAATGGGAAACTGAGACAGAAATTATTTAGGCTGCAAAAACCATCAGTCTTCTCACACAAAGATAAGTAGTGAAATTTAGTGTTAGTCACTAAACTAGTGTAATGGAGAGGTCATATATTAAGACAGTTCTAAATAGTTTATTGGTTTTTAATTCCTGTAGTAGTTTGAAATTACGGGAAGAGCAAAGATTTGGGACAACCTTCAAAGCAAAGCTATACAGTGAAAATTTATGTTCTTGCTATTTCTGAATATTTATGTATCTGGTGAGAAGATTTAGGCAAGGAAATATAAGTTTTTGTACAATGTGTAAGATTGCAAAAAGAGCAAATGAATGACACTATGCTTTGACAAGTTTGTATTAACTCAGGAGATGGCAAAAAGTGTTTACAACCAAATATTTCTGTAAGTGGGTTGAACTCCAATGAGTCTGACAGGAATAATCTTTTGTCCCTAACCCACAGCTTTTGGTAATGCTGTGTAGTGTATTCATCCCGTGCTGCAGACAGGAAGCAGGTCTGGGTACCTTTGCCAGATGAATTGTTTGTCACCCCCCATTCCCTCCATGGGAGTGTGCCCGGCTTTCCCACAGCTGCTGCTGTGAGGAGAAGCTGCCTGCAGATCCCCATGGCTGTGGGGCAAGTGTGATATTCCTGAGGCTTCTGTGCTGCTAGTGTGTGACCTGTGGAAGCAGGGAGGATTTTGTTGGTGAAGACAGGCTGGGCCCTGGTGAGCTGTGTCCCTCCAACAGCAGCTCGTGCTAGGGTGGAGGGCACAGTGGTGCTTCCCTTCTGGTCCATGCCTCAGCTGGGTCTCTGCCATCTGCTTCGTGTAAAAGGACAGGACACAGGCAAGGCCATAGATGATCTGGTTTTTGAGACACATTGCTCCTGCAAGCCCCCAAGAGGACTGTTTTGAGCTGTCAGGAGGACTTTATGGATGAGTTGCTCCCCATGGAGCTCACATTGCTGCTGCCTGGCTTGGGAGGCAAGGCTGCTCCTCACATAAAATCTTCATGTCAGCAACTACTCGGCTCCAGCAACCAGAGCTGCCTAACTGTAAGATTTTTCCACTGTTGTTTTATACTATGTCCATGCAAAACTATTTGGCAAAATATTTCATTATATAATTTTGTGGTAATGTTCATGTGTGATGAAATACTTAGTATTGTAAGATACAGTTTCAAATTAAAATACTTACTTACAAGTATTGAAATACTTGAGGGCATCCCAGAGTGCAGGCACAGTTGTGTGTGTATCAAGGTACTCATAATGATGCATTTTACTCTTCTGAATTACTGATCTATCTATTAGCAGCCTGTTTATGTTACAGTTTGGGGCACATGAGGAAGAATGTCTGTGGCTTGCCAAGTGAGTCAATTCAGTGTTTATAATTTCTTGGTGATTTGCCAGGCAAACATCTGTGCCAAGTTTAGTTTCTCATGTGATCAGGAAGTGATACAGCAGGATGCACTGAGGACTTCCCCGGCTGTCTCCCCTCAGCACCCTGACAGGAATGTGGCAATTGTCTTATGCTTTAAAGTAGAAATTTTCAAAGGCATGTAGAGCTAAATCTCAAATAGATGTCACTGACGTTCCCTTTGAAAGTCTGATGTTTTCCCTTTTTGTTTCCTTTCAAGCTCAAATAAGCACTTTTTAAAAGGAGTTACCCAATCCCTGGGCATGTGTCCTCCTATGAATGTTTGCTTACAACACTTATTCCTGTTGCTCCCCTGTGTGTGTATTAGTGTCACTATTTAATTTCTCCTCGGATTATAGGTGTGGAATAAAGTACTGAACTTGCCTTGCTGGGCCAAATTGGCATCATAGCATTGAATCAACCCATGAGCCCTTGTGCACTATTGGAAATGGGAAGCATCAGCTTAAGTATCATTGCTGTTTAAAGTTTTGGATTCCTCTTACATGGTTTGGAAAGGAATAAGGGGGATCATTCAAGTTGACCTCACGTGGAGAGCTCCTGTGAACTGTGAGTCTTCCTGCAAATATAATATGAGGGCGTTGGATACTTATGTATATTGTTTTATTTCCAAACATAACAAGTAGTTGCAGTGAGTTGGTTCTTTTACACTGATGTGTGTGCATATGCTCTTGTGGGAACCAGCCACCAGAAAATATTTTCCTGTAATAACTTAACTGTCACGTGATTTTGAAAAATCACCTTTGTACTTCTTTTTTTGTTTTATTTTTTGTTTTGTTTTTTAAGAAGACTAGATATGGTTTCTATATTTCATACTTGCAGAAAATACTTTACATGTTATTTGCCACTGGAAATAATAAGAGAACTTCATTCACTTCTCAAACTTGGATGGTAAATTTTATAGGGTTTTTTTCGTAAACTTCTTTTTGTTCCCTTTTATTGCACATACATGTTTCTTAGCTTCTTTCAGAAATTATCTTTGGAATGGGACTGTGTTTGGAGTAGAAGTTCTTTAAAAGGAAGAACATGGGCTTGACTTAGCAAGTGAAATATTGCAGGATGTTTTTTGCAAGAGCATTTCTGCCCATCTGTTGTTTGGTATTTTATGACAAGCAACTGTCACTTGGACTCTTCAGCCTCTTGAGAGTGTGGAGATTTTTTGCTTCTTGAAGCATATCACCACTCTGTCAATAAATAAGCAGAGTGACTCTACTCTGCTATATTTGAATATTCCAGGATTTGGCACCGATCTTACTAGAGGACAGAAGTATGGCTGCTGCTGCAGATATTCTATTTGATCCCATGTCAATCATGTATTTGAGTTTATATTACTTTGTCTTCATTTCTACTCCTCTAGTACTTTTAGAAGTTCTTGATTTATCTCTACGCTCTACCTGAGCTCTAAAATGGGAACAAATTTAACTTATCCAGGCTGCAGAGAAGCTTTTCCTGGTGCTTTTTTGCCCTATTTGTCTGTGGAAGCAGAGAAATAATATATTTCAAAATCATGTATTCCCCATAATGTGCCTTGCTGTGTTTCAGGTCAGCTGAATACTGAAATACAGGAACTGTGGATAAGCCTGCTGTCCATTAGCATTAGGAACATCCCCAGTTGCAGTAGCTGCCCATTAGAAATGTCTGCCAAAGAACTGAAACAGCCATTCTTCATTTGTCCTTCCACGGTGCCCTTTCCTACTTACTTCTTTTTTTCTTTTAGCTCCTTTATAAAAAAAAACAACCCAAAATCTTGATGAATTTTGGATGTTTTTCTCCTTTTATTTAATGTCAGGGTAAATTAAAAAGAAATATATAAATTTTGCTGCCATTTGCTGTTGGCTGAATTTGTTTTAATAAGGCAGAGAAGCTCAAGTCTCTGTCACCAGGGCTCAGGATAGAGCATGTCTGGAAATAAAAGACTGGCTAGTGTGTGTCTGAGACTGAACCAAAAGCACAAGTGAAAGTGAAGCTACTGCAGCACATAAAGCTTGTCACTGCTGTTGGGGAACAGCATCTGCCTGCTTTGGGCCCGCTGTGAACTTGGCCAGACAAAATAGGTGGAAGGGCAGAAGGTGAGGAATGTCTGCATCCTATCATGAATTGGAGGAAATGACTGTCTGCGCTCCGTGCGCTGGTGGGCTCTGCATCCTGCTGGCAGCCTGGCTAGCGCTGCAGGACACTGCACAAGGAGGAGTGAATTTAGCTCTGGTGTTTAAAATAGCTCCTAGGGATGAGAAGAAGCACTTCAAAAATATGCTGTGGGTTTTCTGTTGGCTTTCTTAAACTAACTGGAAACTTTCTGCTTTCTTTCAGGAGCGTTTTTTACTCTGGAAACATTGCTGCTAAAAAACTCCAAATAGGAGGAGTAAATCCACTCAGCTTGTCAGGTCACTGCCTCAGTGTAACGGTGCTTTCATGAGGTGACATTGGGCCAAAGTCAACTTTTCTTTCTCCTTTGTAAACTTGCAGCCAAGCAATGGGCCAGAAAATCTCAGGGAGCATAAAGTCTGTGGATGTGAGGGAGCCCCCTTATAGACCCGTGAAACGAGAGCTGAGAGGCCCGGATTTCTGCAAGCCTGCACGCCTGGACATGCTGTTGGATATGCCCCCTGCCAAGCTGGAGGTCCAGTACAAACACGCTTGGAATAACGAAGATCGCTCGTTAAATATATTTGTAAAGGAGGACGATAAACTGACTTTTCACAGACACCCGGTGGCCCAAAGCACAGATTGCATCCGGGGCAAGGTGGGCTACACGCGGGGCCTGCACGTGTGGCAGATCCACTGGCCCACGAGGCAGCGGGGGACTCACGCCGTGGTGGGCGTCTCCACGGCCGACGCACCGCTGCACTCGGTGGGATACACGTCCTTGGTTGGTAGCAACAACGAATCCTGGGGCTGGGATCTGGGGCGCAACAAACTCTACCACAACTGTAAAAACCAGCCCGGGGTCACGTACCCCGTCTTTTTGGAACCAGATGAGTCTTTTGTACTCCCAGACTCCTTACTGGTGGTTTTGGATATGGATGAAGGGACGCTTAGCTTCATGGTCGATGGACAGTATCTTGGAGTGGCCTTCAGAGGACTAAAAGGGAAAAAACTTTACCCCATAGTCAGTGCAGTTTGGGGGCACTGTGAAATTACAATGAGATACATCAACGGACTTGACCGTAAGTGTTACCACATTTGCTTGTTCCCCTCTCACTTTTTCTCATGTAGGGGTTTTCTTTCTCCTTTTGCTGTGGACAGTATGCTGGGGGGAGCAGATGGTTCAGCTGCAAGGAGACTGCACCCCGTATTTACTGCCCACAATGAATATATCTCTGTGTCTTTTAATACATGGTATGGATTGTGTCAAAATACCTTCCTTTTTGACAGGCAGAGTGGCAAGAATTCTATGTCCAAAGAAACTGAACAGGCTGAGAAAAAGATATTGAGAAACTTCCTGGGTATATTGAACAGTAAAACTCTTGTTTACTGGAGGATATGTTTTAAATCTGTGGTTTCCAAAGAGGATTTGTGGATCCTGTAAAAATTTCCTGTAGTAGTGGAAACTCTTACATAGTGTGCATAAACATACTTGAAGACTGGCCAGACAACTTTCTTTCTGTAGTTGCCTTCTCAGAACCCTCAGAAGAAGCTGTGAATCCCCAAGAATCTGGAAACTCAGGTCAAATACTGCTTTCAGCAGTTTTTCTGAAAGAGAGCTGTGTTCCTTAGTTCATTTCAGAAGGTACTCTCTCAGGGTATTGTCCAGAAATCCAGGTTTTTGGATAAGCATGAGCTATTTCTGATATAACACAGTAACAGCTAACGAAATTGTTACATAACAAGGAGAAGCATGTTGCTGTTGTGACCCCCCAAGCAGTGGCCCAGCAGAAGGTGAGTGGCAGAAGTGGGTCCTTTCCAGTTCTCCATGCACAGGAATGTGTGGGCTCTGCCAGGTCTGAGCCAAATTCACACACAGGAGCATGCACTGCCTCAGAACTCCCTGAACTGAGCCAACTTGCAGGCACAGTGGGTAGGCTATTGGCACACAAAAACGGGACCCAAAATTTCTGTTTGGGTGATCTTTAGTTCACTTATTCCTTCATGGTAGCTAAATTCAAAGAACATACTTTGAATAATACTTCTGTTTCCTTAGAAGCTGTAACTAGAGATGTTAAAAGCAGGGGATCTGTTGCATGGCAGGGCTCAGTAGCTGCTGATAGAGCCCAGGGACCCCTTGCTGGTGAGGGCTACATCCTGCAAGAAGGGATGCTATTCACTGTCAGCTTCTCAGCTGCTGGAAGCTGGGGAATAAAGGAACGGACAAGGTAACAAATGGAACTTGTTTTTTTTTTTTTTAACTGTATTATCTGATGTGTAGTAGGAGCTACAAATATATAGAAAAAATAATAGATGACTGGGCAACATTTTCATGTTATTTTGGGCTCTTCGAATGGAACTTGGTCTTTCAAGAAGGCAGAAAGAGCAAGTGTTCAACACCTGCCTTTTATTAGTAATTTCTGAAAGAATTTACTATCCTTTTCCATTAGGATGGAGTGGTCTAAGTTTTTTTTCTGTCAAAAATTAATTCTCTGCTCAGTAACCTTATATCTGACATACCAAGTAGAAATAAAATTAAATAGCTCAACCCTGCTTAACATTACCTTTTCTAAACATCTGTACTAAGCTCTGGGAGAAAGACTTTTTATCCACAGAAGCCCTGCAGGTTTTACAGCTGATGCTAAACAACAGCTTCCCAAGTGCTTTCATACAGGGGAATATCCACGGATCTTAAGTATTTTGCAATTACTCAGTCATTGCAGAATGATGTGCTGACAGTCTTTTTCTTGGCTTGTGGGGGAGAGAGACTTTTGCAAACTGAGTATTTGTTTGTGAAAGCAGTTTTTTGTAATACTGTGAATATCTGCCAAACTAAGCAAAGTACAGCTCAGATTGGTCCATCACATTCACACAAGGAATTGTTCTGCATTACTTTTGTCGCTTTCACAGGGCTGCTCATGGGAGCTCTAGGAAGATCAAAACACCGGAGGAGGATGTGAATGAGTTCGGTAGAAATTATAGAATAAAAGGGACTAAGTGAGAAGGATAGCTGTGGTCTGTGAGATGGCAGAAAGAAAAATTCCCATCTGGTTTCTCATGGGATAATTTTGCTGGAAGAGGCAGGATATCCCTGAGAAAGTCAAAGTCTCTATTATTTTTAAACACATGAACCCGTGGATAAAAGTAAACTTGTGAACTAAACTTTTGTGTAAGCCTGAGTGTTAATCTGATCATGTGAAGAGGAAGTTTAAAGCCACTTTGCCATGGGGCATTTTGACATCCTGGAATCACCTCCTTTGTTATCACATATTCACTGATTCATTACTGTCCTGCAACAAAAACAGCATTCAAGAAACCAAATGAGCTTGTTTGGCTGGTGCTGCAGAGCAAACACTGTCTCTTTACCACTAAAGGTGTTCTATCCAGGCAGCCCTTGTGCAACAGTACAAGTTTGGCTGTGGCACTCTCCATGTTTGCTCTCATTGCACTTTTGATTGCAGGTTTTTATAATTGCTTGTTCTTGTGTAAATCAAAGCAAGTATTGAAGAGCAGTTGTGTTCACAAATTTAAATACATTTGAACATATATGTATGTGGGGAGTTGTTACTGTTTGATTCCTCTCTAATATTACCAAGCTCTTCTTTTTCTCCCCTTTTTTTCCCCTAATCTTTCTTTTCCCCCCCACCCCCGCGCCATTCCCTGGAAGTATTTCCTACTCCTGAGTGCAGCTTTTGGTAGATCTGGCCATAAAAACTTAGCTGGTCTTGAAGCTGCTGTCAAATAGTGCCTCATAACTTTCTCTTCAGTGATTGATTGTTGCCATTCAGAATGCAAACCACAGCTTGTGATGGTTGTTTGTGTGGAGTCCTGCAGGGCAAGCAGAGACCTCCATGGCAGGGATTTCTAGTGTTTTCAATACTTGCTGCTTAAATTGAAGACCTCTGAATACATTAAAGGCCTGTGTATTTCAGTTGCTTGGCAAAGAGTGAAAGGCTTGCAGGAATGGGAGAGTGAAAGGCTCAGATGATGGCTTTCATGCAGCTGCAATGAACTTAAACATACGTCACAGATGATGCAGACTTCCAAGTGTGTTAATTACTGCAGGGATGGCAGATTCACAGGAGGATAAGGCTGCAGGTCAAAGATCAAGGACCTGTGTGCCCTCTGGACTCTGGATATTGCTCCTAGAATAATGCTGTAATTAAAATCAGTTGTACTTCTGCCAGCTGCATCTGATAACCACAGTATTCTGCTTCAGAAACTACCTTGAACATCATATGATGATGCTCTGTGACTTTACACAAGAAATTTTTCCCTTTTTTTATTCTAAGAGACTTGGAGTTGCAAATGTTTTCAGGGTTTGGGAGGAAAGGCATAGGGACAGGATAGAGAGTGCTCATAATAAGTACATTGAGTTCTTCCCAGCACAGACTCCTTTGATAAAATGCTATCAGTACCTATCACACTGATGTTTGCCCAGTTTCTAAACTGGACAGAAGACAGAATTTTACATCAGTCTTCTGAATTACTGCCTATTACAGTAATTAACGTAAAAGCAGTAAATGTTACTTTTCAGATCAGGGTATGTGCTTGTTTACAAAAAAATGGTCTATTTATATCTGGTGTCTGATGAGGAGTCCTGGAGACTATTTATAGACAGGAACAGAGAAATAGCCAAACACTTCTGTGTAAATGTACATTGCAGATCATGACTGATCCATTAGTGTTTAAACAAAGCATTGGGAGGACAATCTATATAACAATGCTGTGATGGAAAACTTGGTCATTGAGTAGGTAAACTGAACTCATTGCAGTGCTTGCACTAAACCTCCCATAGTCCTTACTCAATTCTGAAAATAATTGTTGAGCTCAGGAAGTTGGAATCATTTGTCTCAGAAGAGGAGTATAATTTATGGAAAACATTTGTCTGTACCCATTTGTATTTTATTGTTCTTGTAGGATGTGGCCCTCACCAGCAAGGGGTCCCTAGGCTCTATCAGCAGCTACTGAACCCTGCCATGCAACAGATCCCCTGCTTTTAACATCTCTAGTTACAGCTTCTAAGGAAACAGAAGTATTATTCAAAGTATGTTCTTTGAATTTAGCTACCATGAAAGAATAAGTGAACTAAAGATCACCCAAACAGAAATTTTGGGTCCCGTTTTTGTTTGCCAATAGCCTGCTCACTCTGCCTGTGAGTTGGCTCAGTTCAGGGAGTTCTGAGGCAGTGCATGCTCCTGTGTGTGAATTGAGCCCAGGAAGAGTAGAGAAAATTCCTGCATCCTGGGTTGCCTGGGGAAAGGATGCTGATCCCTGTGGCTCCTTCCTCTCTTGGCTGCTGGGGCACTTGCAGCTCCAGGGAGGAGCTGGGGGTTGTTCTGTATTGAAGGGGGAGAGAGGGAGGGAAGGAGAGTAGCTCAGTGCACATCCTCTCTGCTTGCTGCTACAGCTGCAGAAGTGTGGGAACCCAGCACATCCCTCTGGCTGCCCTGGATGTCTCGAGACCCTGGCAGGTGGCTCGGAGACCTTGGCATGAAGATAAAAACACCTGTGGCTTCAATTTTAGCCTGTGGAAACAGCTGCCAACTTTTTCTGAGGAATTACACGCCACAAGGGTTTGAGTAGTGTGGAAGTTGAATTAACACAGGGTGAAAAAGTAGCATTTATGGCTTTTTAGAATGGGGTTCCATGGGGACAAGATGGAGGGATCTGGGTGCATCCTGGCCTACTTCTTCTTCTTGTCCTGCATGTCTTGGTGTGATGGTGACACTTTTCTGTTGGTTTAAGGTGGAGACACACTGTCAAACATAAATGATAGATATTGGCACGTTATTGTAAACACAGTACACATAGTTTTTGGTATGAAATATAAACACCGCCCAAGAGAGCAGATAGAATGCCATGGCCAACCTGCTGAACAGAGCTTAGCAGCTCAGAGAAAGAATGTTATAGATCAGAGAAAATAAACAAGCTTGAGAAGCTGACCCTACGCATCCAGACTTCTTTGGCTGTGCAGGCTGAGGAATGAGGACTTTTACACTCTCGGGGTCACCTTGACACCCAGACCCCGAGACAGAAGTTCTGGACTGTGGGGTCTGTTCACTCCTTTTGCTCTCAACTGTGCCAAGATCACAGTGTAACCCTGAAACTCTTCCAGATCTGAGGCTCTGTGTGTTTAGCATTTTGAATTAAAGGTGATGCTTCTAAGCTAAAAGACCAATCTTGCAGCTATGCACAACTTCTTTCCTACTATTCTCAGTTTATTTTAATTCACATTGGTCTGTGTCTGACGTACCACAAGTGTTAGTTATAGACATACACTCTTCTCCTTGGAGGCTTTTTTGCCATAAAGAAATCTAAGTCAAAATTGTGACATTATTAACTGCCAGGAGAAATCCATAATCTCTCATCAAACTCTGGGTTTTCCCCCTAATGGGTTTCAATTAAAATTTTTTAATGGATTTGGTTTTTTGTTTATCTAAACTTGTTTTTATGCCATACGCTATTCATATAATACAAGACTCTGGAGGCTGCAATAGAAATAATGTACTCTGAAAATCCAGCATTGCTAAACCTTAAAAAGGATTTTCCCTACAGACATGCAGTCAGAGGATGAAGCAGCAGCAATTAAGCAGCCAATGCTGTGAAGAAGCAATCTTTAACTTTTGAGATAATTTAACAGGAAACAGTATTTTCAGTGCCTGCTTCAGGAGTCAGATAGCTATTTTAGGGTGGTTTTGTCTTCTAAATGCATTCCCCTTCCCTGGATTAAGTGCATTTTTTTGTCCTTTAATCCTAATTTGTTGACACTTTCTAATTAATTCTCAGCCTTTTCCCAGCAGGTTGAAACCACTGTATTGTCACTAGAATATGCCACTCTGCTAAGTGGCTTTTCACCCCAGGCACCCCCTGCCCCTTCTTGGTGGTCTCTGCATTACATCTCTCTCCCAGATACTCTTCATTTATTCAGTCCCCATTTCTTTCCTTCCCCAGCTAAGTTTCTCTTCTGTTGCCACACTAAGCAATAATAAATTCTTACCTACCTTGTTTTGTTTTTTTTTCCTTGTCCCCAACTTCAAGTAGTGCATTTTTGTTATTGGTAATTTTAGATCAGGTGCGGTGTCACTCTTCTAGATGAGGACATTTCAGATTTAAATCTGTGACTTTAGCTGTAATGATGAATGGGGTTTGTTTTATATAATTTTTTCCTGACAGAGCCTCCTCTGAGAGTGTAAGGCACAAATCAGCTTTAGAGTTAGAAAGTTTTTTGGTTTTAGGGTTTTTATGGTTTGGGAGTTATTTGTGGATTTGGTTTCTTTTTTTTTTTTTTTTTTTTTTTCAGTCTTGTCTAATTTGTTTATTAGCAAGGGGTCCAGTTATCATTGGGCTAGCACATAAGAAGGTGCTGGGATATTTTCTTTCAAGCTCAATAGTTCCCAAGGCTAAGAGCAGCCACCAGTAGTTCACAGCTGGGCTGTGGATTCTTTGCATCCTGACATACCTAGTGTTTATTCTTCCCTCTCTGGTTCATAAAAGTGCCATGGCAACAGCCCAATCTACAGTTTTAAGGAAAAAATGCTTGATAATGTGTTCTGATCATGTTTCCACTGATTTCCCATGTATCCTCTTTTTAAGAAATAAGTACCTTAAAGAGCAGTGACTGTAGCTCTCTTCTCAAGATTGAAGTGAACAAGGTACACTGTGAATATTGTACTTGTTACACTAAAATAGTAACTTGATAGGCTTACTTAGTTCTTTCATGAATTTGGTCAAGCTACGATGATGGAATTGCTAAGCAATGTAAATTCTCATAGGTTTGTATAAGAAGTGGAAGTTTGTAAAAGACTTATTTTTGGATTTGTTCTATCTGTATTGCTTTTGGGAATTGTAGACTGTAAATCCAAGTTTCAGGGCAAACCGGGATGCTTCCGTCATTGAGTGAAATATTTATTTTATTGCCAAAATTGCATGTGCTTTTTAAATTTTGACTGTTTTCTGTTTCATACATGTTTCCTCATAAGTTATGTTTCTCCTTAAGATATTCCTTTGTCTCTCTTGCCATGGAAGTTTCTACCATTCTGTAATTACAAGCTCTTTTTGCAGATGGCCTCTTTCTCCTAAATCCAGTGTAGCTTCTCTACTAGAGAAGCAGTTAAACAACCTGATTCCTAGTTTGAGCTCAGAGAAAATTCCACTCTAAAAAAGTGTGTTTTGGTTAATGAGTTCCTATACCAGTCTTCATATAATGGCAAAATTTGTATTTTTTATGGTAAATTGACAGGCAATGGGCCTGAAAATGAGCATGTCCGGAGATGCTGCTGTGCTATGCGAGTGGTTCTGCTGAAAGTAGTGCTGGTGCTCCTTGTGTACAGGAGAATAAAGCTGCCCTAGCAGTAACACTGTGTGAAGTTAATGCTGAGGCTGTGAAGTACTAGGAAGCTGGCAAACAGCAGAATGGGATTTGTTTTTTCTGCTGCTGTAGTTCTGAGTTGGGCAGCCTTGTCCCACTTTTTGGAGATAGGGTTTCACTCTGATAAAAAGCTGTAGGTTCAGCTGCAAGTCATCCTTTTGTACTCACTTTTTCCTCGACTGTTTTCTCCCCCGCCCTGTGTGTTCAGGAGTTGGTGTATTCTGTATTTCCCCAGACAGCCAGTGTGGAAACCCCCAGAGCGTGACAGTCCCTGTGTTCTCAGGTTCAGGTTTGTGTTGCCCTTTGAAGATAAGAGCAGAAAGGCCCTGCTAGCAGGACAGCACTGGATCAAAGCTCCCCCTCATCTGCTTTGATTTGGCAATATTCCTTCAGTCTTTCACTTTAAACTGTTTGGGTTGGGACTGATGATCAAATCTGTCTTCTGGTCTGTTATCAAACCTGATTTTTGCTGAAAACCCTCCAATGCTAGAAGTGTGAGATGGGACATTTCAGTCTTCAGTGCTTTAACTCGCTCAGGGTTGAGGCAGAGGAGATGCTGGAAGTTATTGACAGAATTGAACTTCATGTACAAGTACTGAGAGGATGTATTCAGTTGATTGAATGTTAGTTGGTGATGAAATACAGAGGATAAAATGCTGACACTACAAAGATAATGTCTCTTGGTAATTTCCAGTGTAAGCTCAGAGCAGTTAGTCAAGCCTATACCTGAATTTTCCATGGTTAAACTTAAGACAACACATTTCTTTTTCATATGTGTCAAACTCATGTCAATAATAGCAATATAAGAGTATATCTGTGCCTTCTGTGAAAATTTCTTTCTGAAAGTAATGAACTTCCAGATGTGGGATGTTTTGGCTTCCCCTTTCCCTTCCCCTTTTTTCTTCTTTTTTTTTTTTTTTTTTTTTTTTTTTTTTTTTTTTTTTGAGAAGGTTCATATTAGCTCTGTCTCTACCATTTTTTTTATCATTGGTTGGCCAAAAAAATTGCCTTATTCCAGAGAAGCGATTTGTATTAAACCAAAATGTATTATGAGCAAAGTAGGTAACATTAAAAAAAATTAACTCTTGTATGACAGTTATATTTCTCACAATAGATTTTTTTACAGCGTTTTTCCTCACACTGGAAATGGGAATTCCATTTCTGCATGTGTTGTTTCCGACATGACATTTAAAGACATGGTGCTTCTGCTTCTCAATAAAAGTTACTAGGAAATTAATAGTATTCTTGTGTGTGCCACATACCTGTATGTCTATTCATTGTGTACTTGAAGGGGCCACAAAACTTTGAGACAGCATCTTGAAGCTAAAAAAATCTACTTCCTCTTCCTTCTGGTTTCAACAAGTTTGACAGCTACAGTTTATCTGAGCAAGACAAAGTGATTAATTTCTTTTAGATCCTGCTGCATTCCCCGATTTCTTGTAGTGTTTACCTTTCATATTTTGGTATTCTCTTAAGCATGAGCCTGTAATTGCTCTCAAAAATCCGTTTCGCTGTCCATCAGAAAAAAAACCCAGAAAGTGGAGTTATACTAATGCCCTGTTCACTTGTTCAAAACTGAAGTGCTTTATGCTTCTGAAAACTCCTAATTTTCAAGTGATTTGTATTATGTAAAATATATTTTGAAGATACTTTTAAAAATATCTTTATGAAAGGAAAAATAATTTTTAAAGGCTTAGGAATCTGGTTTCTTTAGAACCTGGTGCTCAAACAAGCACAGCCAAGCAGTGTGTTTGGGGTTTGTGTACTGCCAGTGACTGCTTCTCTTCCAGCTTTGCTTTTTGAGTTTTTCTATTCTGTGCAGTGTTAACTGCCACCCTGATGAATTAACTCATGCACTTAAAATGTTTTGCTATATTTTGACACTGGTGATGTCAAAGGCTCCCACTTCTCATGAAACAAGTGATGTTGGGGTAAGTGACTTGGGTTAGGTTGGTGTGGAATGTGTGCCTTGGCTCCAGAAGAAATACCATTTAATTTCTTGGTTCATACTGAGTTTCACAGCACTGGAAGGCCTCCTCATCACGTGTGTGGACTCACTCTATCTTTGTTGTTTTAACTACAGCAGTTGCTTTAATGTGCTATGCTGTAGCTGTGACTCCAGCCCTGCTGCATGCATGCTTGCCATATGTGTAAACAATTTGCTGATTTTAGTGGTATGACCTGCTGGCCTCTGCCTGTATAAACAAATGGAGGCCAAAGTTCAGAGAGATCAGAGGGGAAACTTTAAACATCCTGCAAAATCTGCAGTCCATTAAGTGTACGTTAGTGTTTGGTTACAGCCAATCCTTTTGTACTTTTGAGTAATTTGTTCGTGGCATGTTTGGGAAAGGAGGGATGGCTTCACCTGGGGCTTGGGTTTGCACTGAGAAACCAGCTTCAGTGGCATTTTCTTGGAAAGGGAATGCTCACGGCTGCTTCACTTTTCATTTAGATTGAGATTTGAAAGAGTTGTGGGGACATTGGCCAAAGGGCTGTAGTGTGCAAAGAATGAATGATATGAGAGGCCTGTGACACAAGCAACAGAATGAAATGTGTGGCAAAGAAAGCAGAAAAGTAAAGTGAGAAGTGCCAGCAAAATCTAGAAAGATGTACTTGAAAGAGCAAATGTGAAGAAGGCATTAGAAGGTTTAAAAGGAAGAGAGAAGGCAGACAAGTCTGGAAAGAGGGTTAAAAAAAAGATGCTGAGATTTTGACAGGAAATAAGCCTTTATGTAGTAAGCCAAGTAGCACATGGAAAAGAAAGGTCAGGACTATCCATGCTCTTGAATGGCCAGACATCCCTCCTGTACTTTCTTTACGTTCATCACCACTTTTTCTGGCAGGAGCTCTGAGTCCAACCCTCAGCTGTGTGGTGTTAAGCTCAGCCACGCTGAGCTTCCCTGGCCATTGCTTGTAGCTGCTTGTTACTTTTTTGTAAAGTGGGCTAAGAGCCTGTATAAGTCAAATAAACTGATGTATGTAGTGTGAACTTCGCAGGAATCACTGTGATACTATTGGCATCTCCCAGGATTTTTGTTATTCATGACTTTACAACTGAAGTTTTCAATTTGAGTAGAAATGAGGGAACTGTTAATATTTCTGGATCTGAGAGGCTAAATTAACCCTGCATATTTTTGAGTGACATATTCTTGATTTCTGGTGGACTTTTATAAGTTTTTAAATGGGTTTTTCCCCCTAGTTTTCTGAACTTACTGTAAATTTAAATCTGTTACTTCTGTGTTATAGATCTTGTGTCCTCTAAAATAATGTGCTAAACTTCCAGGTGTAGCTGATCATCAGGAAGATGTTCAAGGCATTTTATAATTTCATTTCAAGAATAAAGCAGAAATGAAATAATCTGTGATGCAAATGTTTTCAGAATCCTGCATGTAACTTGATGTACTTGAAACACTGGAGTTCCAGCCTTTTAGCATCATCCCCAGCAGCATTTCTGATACTAAACTCTGATAACATCTCTGAAATGCAACTCTGTTAAATGTGCAGCATCTGTATGCAAGCAGCAGCTTCCTGAGAATGTGATATTTTTCCTAAATCACTTATGCAGAGAAAGTTCCAGACTTCCTCTGGCCCATTTTTCCCAAACATCTTTAATATATAATGCATACATAGGCTATAATCTTAAAATGTTCATGAAAATGAGTTTGTCTTTAAAATAGAACAGAGCAGGACCAAACCGGGATGGTTTGGACTTGGTACCAAAGGGGTGATGCTTTCAGCAGCTTCCCTGGCCACAGAGCAGCAGTTCTGTACTGCTGTGGCTGTTGATGCCTCAGCTCCTGGCTGGGTTGCAGGTGAGGTGCTGCACACAGGAGCAGTTAGTGGTGACAGCTCTGCAGAGAAGGAGCTGCAGGAGGAACTGGCCAGGAATTGACTAAAACAGAAAAACGAGTTTGGGGAGGGGTGTCTGGCAGTTTGGCTGCTGTCAGAGGTTCTCTCCTGGAGGGGGAAGCAGACCCTCTGTCCGTGCTGCTCTAGAGCAAGAGGAGCCATTGCACTGTTGTGTCTGGGTTTCTCAGCAGCCCACAGCAAAGTCCTGGTCACCAAATGCCACAGCTCCAAGGAAGTTCTCACCAGTTGGAACCATCATCTGCTTTCTGTTCCCCAGATTATTGTGCTGATAGAAACTTCCTTAAAATGGCAATACACCAAAGAAACATTTTGTGTATGAAATGTGAAGATAAAATCTAAGGGTCACTTTTACTGTGGTACACTAAATCACTTATTCCCCATGATTGTGAATAACTGTAATTTTGGTTTAACAGCAATTTACTGTAAGTTACTTATTTGCTTTATAAGACATCTTAACAAATAGGCATGTTATGTTAAATAGGAAAAAGGTTTGCTTTCTTAGGTAAAAAATAATAAAACATTTTGTAGAATTATTTGTTTTCCCAATCACTGACAATTCCTTGCAATAATAAATGGCATTGTTTGCTATTTTCCCCTCTTGTATGTTTAGCTACCTGATAAGCTGTAGACCCAAATCCCTATCAACTTCAGCTTTTTCTTGTTTTGTTCTCAGTACACAATTACCTTCACAGTGGTGATTTTTTAAAAAAGAGATTAGGCTTTTAAACTAGAACTTTGGCTAACTCTGCAGTATTAGTTTATGAAGTAATGCATTAAAGGAGGTGTTTGGTAGGAGCTGCTGTTGGAGCAGGTAAAAATGAAAATCCACTGCTCTCTGTACTTGGGAAGTTGCTCAGTACTACAAAAAGAAGAAAACCACATTTATATAACCAAAACAAGAGCGCACATTAAGTGTAAAAAAACTTTGTTCTGTGGGCATTTAGGATTAAGATTTTGAGCCAAAAAGGCAGATGGTAAATCCATTTCCCAATGCTAATCTGACAGTAATGTTCTGATCCTCTGTGGAGCTCAGCAATGCTGTGTGCTCCTCTAAAATCCACTGGCTGCTGGAAAGTGGTATTTTCTTGTGCAAGAAAGTCTTCTCTGCTTTAGCTGGAGATGGAGAAATGTCTCCTTCTAGGGAGCAGGTGGGCAATACTGTTTCTCAAGTTTCTCTGCGGGCAGTATGATGACGCGTTTTTTTTCAGGAGTTGGGGAAGAAGAGTTCTTTGGTGTCCTTCTCTGAGTGTACAGCTGTAAGCTGTCTTTCACTCATTCTTTCCTTTCTTTAATCTGCAAATGATACTGTCTCTATTTGCACAGATTTGAAAAATGGGCTCTGATCAGCTGCTTCTGCCAGCTGTTTTGCAAAAACAGTATTTTAAAATAGTCTTTTGAGCTAAAATGTGAAAAATGACCTTTGAAGAAATTGGAGTAAACCAAGTGAGTTATACAAATGCAGTTGTGCAAAGCTGTCTAGTGTGTCTTGAACACAACCATCTTTTACTTGATCCCCTGAATAAACTCTAAAATTCTTGTGTTTTTATAAAAAGAACTGTTTACTTTGACTGTCAAGAAGTCACTAGTTTTGTTTAATGTGGAAAATCTTGATAAAGCTGATTCAGTTGTAGATCAGTCCTTCAGCCTTGCAGAATAAGGAGGAGCCAAAGAGATGGATTTTCAGGTTGTAGATGGGGGAGGTACTGATTAAAGGCCCTTCTGGATCTTCTTGCTGCCACTTCTTTGAAAGACCTGTTCTTCTGTTTCTCTGTCCAAGTTAGTTGCAGTCACAGGATTTTAGGGGCTCTTTGGTTTTGTTTGACAGTTCTTGCTCTGTTCTAACTAGACTGCAGTAAATGTGTAAGCAAAGGGAGCCTTTTCACAGAAGGGCTGATGTTCTGTATTACATGACACATCCAAAGAATGAAGTGTTCTGGATTAAGCAGGATTATTATATCTAATTTTTCAGATCTTTATCTGGGTTTTTTTAGGTAAGAAGTTCCACATTTGGCCACATTATAATTTTACAAATAAGATTCTGCAGACAAACTATCAATGTCCCAAATGGGCCATCCAAGATGAATGGTACATATATTTCAGAGATATATAGTTAGATATAGATATCTATATCTCTGTGTGTGTATATTAGGGCCTTTCTTCAAATTCTCATAGAACACATTCAGCTATTTTTGGAAAAGTGAAACCAAATCCTTTATTAAACACGTAATTGTGTGGTGCAGACAGCAGTCTCCAAAGATGTTACTCCTCTCTTTGCCAGGCAATTGCAGCAGGGAATTCGATGCCTCCTGGGGCACTTCTGCCAGCGGTCTCCAGTCGTTTCCTGCCTCAAAGGGAAAAACAAGGAGCAGTAAATGATTTCTGGTTTTAATTAGGCTGACAACGATTCGTGCCCTGAAGGATGTTAGGAGAGACAGTCATTAAGTGTAGTATCCCTGGAGGCATTTCCTGCCCTGTCCGGGATTTGCTGGGGTGCACCATCTCTTCTGGCTTTCTTTTGTGGTGACCCTGTAGCCCTTATCTGGTCTTTTGTGTTCAGGCTACAGCAATTCTCACATCTCTCCTGTTGACACCTCAGACCTGCTTTGGCTGTGCTTTTGTATTTATCTAGATGTTCCAGTTGAGAAAACATGTATATTTTCAATTATCTATTCCACATTATGTACAACAGAGTCCACTACAGAGGACACCTCATCTAGTTTGGGCTTCCATTGATCCAGGCTGGAGATTTAGTGTTCAGATAAAGATTAAGTTAAAAATCTAACAAGAATTTGGGCTTTTGATACTAGAAACTGTAATAAGGGATAAGTATGATTAGACAGGTGAATATATATGACAATTATTTCATGAAGAGGAATGTAACGCTTTTTAGTTGTCTGAAGGTGGGAATGTGTGGGAGTAAGGGCAGTCCAATAGGTTTTGAAATTACTTCAGAGAAACTGATGAAAGAATCAGTTCTGAAAGTCTTGTATGTTGGTGAAGTTGAGCAGTTCTTTTGGGAACCTTCTTTAAAAACAGGCAAGAAAAGATGGAAGCAAATGGTCAGGTTCTAAGTTGGGAGGGGCATATTAGTACAATCTCTGCTGGGATCTACTCTACTCAGTATGGTAACAGTGAGTTGGAAAATAAGGTGAAGTAATTTAGACACAATCTTTCAAGGTAGATAAATCTAAACACAGGACCTCTGAGCAGAGTCTTGTAGGAATTAACTTGACAGTAAAAAAGTAGGTGAGGTTGGGTGATGTTATGTGCCCAGTACTGTGTAACAGGATGGGGTGAGGGGAGCAAATCTACCTCCTCACAGAGTAGATTTGCTACCTCTGTGTAGCAAATCTGCTCTGTGAGGAGTTCTGTGCAGGATGAGCTGTTACCACCTGGAAAGAGATCCTGGAGACACTGTGTGTCATATGATGAAAATGTCACTAATGAGTGACCCACAGGGTGGGATGCTGTGAATTGGGACAGCAGGGAACTGGTGATGTTGGTGTGGCCAGCTTGTGTCTTGATTACTGCTCTTGTTGTCCATACCTGCCCTCTCCTACCCCTCCTGCCCAGAAGTTAAAACATGTAAATAAATACTAAACTAAATAGGTACTAAATACTAATAATTTGACTAGGAAGAAAAGCATGGCTTCTGCACAAGGAAAGAATAAATAAACCAGGATCTGACCAGTAGTCCACCTACA